GAGAGAGAGAGAGAGAGAGGGACGCAGCGGGGGAACAGACGGTCTCTACCCAAGGACGCAAGAAACCCCGCGTGCCAAGCGCACCTGCACGCGTCCGTAGGACTGGCACCAGCAAAAGGGGGCACCCTGGCCAAGGCGCGCTTCTGCAAGGCGAGGTGGGAGGAAGCGCTGAGAATGTCCACGCGGACACGCGCAGGGCTGCCCTGCGGTGACAGGCTGCAGCCTCTTCTTCCCCCCTCGCCTGCCCAAGCCGCGGCACAGCGGACGTGGCGCTTGCGAGAGCAGCCACCAAACCCACCCGCCGAGGAAGGGAAGGAGCGCAGCGGGGGGAGGGGAAAAGCCTTCACCTTGGCTCCCAAGAGGCGCGCGGCCGCCCTGCTACCGGCAGTCAACAAGGTCATGGCGAGCACCGATCAAACTGGCGTGGCGGCGAAGGGGAAACCAGAAGCCGCCCTCGGAAAGGGGACAGTCTGGGAGGCGGGCAGGAAAGCAGGCGGCGGAGACCGGGGGCAGGGGAGAAGACGAGCGGGCTGCGCCGGGCTGGGTCCTGGCAGCGTCAGGGCGGAGCAAGGCTGGGAGAAGGCCCGAGGCGGCATTAACAGAGTCGCTCTCTCTCGCCGAAAGAGCCGCGCCTCTTTTCCGGCGGCGGGGAAGCGCCGCGATTGGCTGCGGCGCGGTGACGGGCAGGGCTTGCTGCGCGCGGAGGGGCGGGAAGGGCGGGATCGAACGTTGAGCGAAGCGTCCGATCTAGGCGCCTTAGAAGGTCCCTCTGCGCGCTGCGCGCGCTCTCGCTCGTCTCAGCTTCAACGTGGGCTCAGCTCGCCTCGGCTTCCCGTTTCGCGAGGGTGGGAAGCAGCTTTGCCCCCATCGGGAATGGCTTTAATTTCCCTTGCCGGGATGTTCTGAAAGGTGCTTGTGAGGGTGTGTGACACACACACACACGTGTGTACATGCACGTAGATGGATTTCCTTTTAGATTTCAATAGACCGTCAAAAAGCAGAGAAGCCTAGCTGGCTCACAGAGAATGGACAAATAAAGCAGCAGGATTCCATTCGCACAGGGAGAAAGGTCACAGTGACTCCAGTGGTTGTGATGCTGTTGACACTGTCACGCTTTAACAAAACCACCAGCGTTGTTACTTCTACACGTTGCCAAAGAAACCAGGAAGAAAACTTGCTGTTATATGTAAACATCTCTAGTACAAATTCTATTTCAAAGGAGCACCACTGAATTCCTTAAGATTTAGAGCATGTAGTATCTTGGAATAAGGGCATAACAATTTGTGCAATAAATAACATGTTTTGGATTGCAACTCCACAATCTCTTGCCATTGACTCTACTGGTTACAGCTGATGGAAGGTGAAATGGAAACATCTGAAAAGCATTAGTTTATAACACTAAAATGAAAGACTGAGAAGTCTAGTTAGAAGAAAAGTAGTTGGAAGATATTTCAGTTGAATGGTAAAACATGCAAATACTGTTCTGGTATAGTGGAATAGCAAAATGTCACATCCATTTGTCATCTTAATGCTACAAATTATGACTGTATCATAGGCTGTACACTTTGTAGTAGCTAGTTTTTTAACAAACCATGACTGGATAGGTTCTTACATGTTGTTCAGTCGTTAAGTCGTGTCCGACTTGTGACCCCATGAACCATATTGCGCCAGGCCTTCCTGTCCTTCACTGCCTCCCTGAGTTTGCTCAGTTTCATGCTCATTGCTTCAG